GCTTTGTCGCGGTTATCTTGTTTCGACGTCACATCGAACTGTCTGGCGTTACAGGCTCGATGATATGGCGATATATTTCGCGGCTTCGCACAATTCACGTATCCCACAAAACATTTACGCGTTCACGTAGGCTTCGCGAATCCAATCACGGAAATGACTGATGGAGGTAAATCCAACGTACGAGTTGTAATCGCAAGTGCCTCTGTTCTCTGGACTTACGCTCACAATGCCGCGAAGATACCAAATGCGATCCTTCTCGAAGCACAAGCCGCCGCCGCTATCTCCATCGCAGACACTCGAGCCTGATAATTATGCAATTACTTTCATTATGAATATAAAACACATTACGATTATAAAACACTAAAGAGAATCATTTTTTTCGATTTGTAGCAGAGATATGCAACCATATCATTACAATTACTCCATTTATCATCATTACACTTGATATTATCAATTACTGCGATAATCTTACAAATTCTCTATGAGAGCAAGCAAATAAATCTAGCAAACATTCACACATACGTAAACTCACCGTTCAAGTGTCCGGCGCAGAATTTGTCGGACGTGAGGAATCCTCGAAAATCTTGAGGAACCGCGGACAAACACTGGTCATACGGCACGAACGGCATGTCAATTTCGTATAAGCTCTTGGTGGATTCGCCTTTGATGTCTTTGCCCCAGCCGACCACCTGAAATCACAAGGTGAGCTCATGTATCCGTTTTTATTTTCTCTTTACATTTCACTCTCCCTTCCTTCTCGAACGACGGTCGAAACGAGCCACTTTACAAAAATTAAACAGCCCCCATTCGCGATTGGATACAAAACCGCCCCGTGAGTACGGCGTGCACTCGCAGCAATTAACGTGAACACGATGTAACAATGTCCCAACATGCACGCAGTTGAAGTTTAGTTCAAAACCAGGTCGTTAATGCAGTTTACAACTAGTATCTCGCCAAATGTACTTTCGCTCGGACGTTACAAAGCGCTTTTGTAATTAATTAAATTGTGCTAAGACGTGCCAATTAGTCGGTTCTCGCGATTGATACTTGGCCCGTGTTACCTTGCCACTGTGTCCTACTTGCAGCTGTTCCCTCTCGTGCGCGTTGTCCCAATCTACGCAGACGGGCCTCACTAAGGTAGTCAGCTCGAAGGGCGTCTTCAACTTCAATAAAGCTATGTCGTTGGCGAAATTACCTCTGGCTCCCTGGTATCTACCGCCCGCTTGGATACTCTCCACCAACGATTTCTGCGCGTATTTTTCTCTGGCGTTCCAATCACGATAATGTTTGCCGGCGGCCACAGCATATTCCGATTCGTTATACAGTTTGTTGTAAACCTCGTCGTAGAAACAATGGGCAGCTACGAATACACGCGACGAGAGTAAATCTAAGAATAAAATGATTCACCAGCGCGATAATTTACCTGATACGACGAGATTGTTGTTAATTAAAGTGCCGCCACATATCTGCTGATACCTGTCCGTACTCTCCTTGGCGTAAATACCCACGTGCCATGGAAATATCCCTGCTCTGGCTGGGGATCCATTTACGATTAACGTGTTGCCGTGCGCGATGGACGTTCCGCATTCTAATTAACCAGAATGTCGTTAATATTTTTGCAGTACGATGGCACGATAATTGTAGGCGAACGGCCGGATTATAAATCACTAGCCGGAATAAAGTCTCGAAACTGTAATCTTATACGCTCAGACGGCAATTACTGCAGAAAAACGTCATGTGGTCTACTAATGGATGGTAACATGCACGGTTGACGTTCAATCTGTCCAGACTTTTTCGTTTTTCGTTCCTCATATCAGGAAACATGCAAATGACAAGTACCTGGTAGACAGCGAAAAAGGCGACGATCCCATAAACCATCGTCGAGACACGTGATCTCCCTGTAAGCTGGATCGTTCGTTAAAGGTAATTTATAAGATGATTTACAGGCGAGTGTAGCCTGCGTACCAGGCAGTATACGCTCGCTACAGGACACCGTTTTCCCGTGGTAGCTGCAGAAAATGTCTACGCTGGTACTGTTCAACGATGAACAGATTTCTATGAAAATAATCAACGGAGAAGATAAACAATAAATTTTATATTATACGATGCGTCATTAAGTAAGAAGAATGTTGTTTCTAGTAGAGATCTTAATGTCATTCGATGTTTCTAAAAATAAATATACCGTTGGAATAAACTTACTAAGACACGAAGGCGGCTGATACCACCGGTTGTCGACACAAACGGAAATGGTGTTTCCTTTCAACATGTAATTGCTTTTACAGGTATAATTGAGGAAGCTGTTTTTAGGAACTGTATCACCAGGACGTTTATCGCAACGTTCATCGCAACCAGCCAATTCGTAATGCCCACCTTCTGGTTGTTCAGGTAGAACACAGCTGTCATCATTATTTCTGTTCCTGTAATTCCGCGAATATGTAAAATACGTATATACAGTTGCACACTTAAAGCTAAGATTTCAAATAAAAAGAGAAGTTCAGAAGGCTATCAGAAAGATAACGGTAAAAAAAAGAAGAAATCAAGTACGTTTATTACATCCGAATTAAGTATTATTATCATATTTATTCATGTTGTAAGTAATGAATTTCGAAGAAGAAACATTTAAAAAAGATACATAATTGATATGAAAATACGTAGTTAAAAAGCATTTAGCTTACGCCATGCAAAATTCTTCGTCGCTGGAATCGCGACAATCATTTTTATTATCACACTTAACCCTTTGCGGTAGGCACTCGTTACTTCCACAATGAAATTCGTCGTCTCTGGTTAAAAATAATTAAAATTTTTTTGTTAATTATTTAACTAATATGAATATAAATAAGTACCGTCTCCGTCATACATTATATTAATAAAGAATTATATATTTTTAATTGAGAGGCAGTCAGATGTACCTGCACTGTCGATTCTGTGGATATTCATTTCGATCGGATATGCGATCGTCTGGACCATGGGGGCCCTCTCTATTGTAATCAGGATAAGGTCTTTGAGTGGATCCATCGTTATTTGGACGTGGATAATTTTCATTATTATTTGGACGTGGATAGTTTTCGTTGTTATTTGGACGTGGAGAGTTTTCGTTATTACTTGGATGTGAATAATTTTCATCATTATTTGGACGTGGATAGTTGTCACCATTACTTGGACGTGGATTATTTTCATTATTATTTGGACGTGGATAATTTTCATTGTTATTTGGTCGTGGATGGTTTACATCGTTATTGGGACGTGAATAATTTTCATCATTATTTGGACGTGAATAATTTTCATCATTATTTGGACGTGAATGGTTTTTATTGTTATTTGGACGTGAATAATTTTCATCATTATTTGGACGTGGATAGTTTTCATTGCTATTTGGACGTGGATAGTTTTCACCTTCGGACGAATTTTCGGTGTCCACTTTGTTCCAGCCCGGAGGACGTTTACCAATCAATCCTGGAGGACTGCCACCCCCTAATCCGGGAGGACCGTGACCACCTGGTGGCCCTTTATTACGACCCCCCCATTTATTATGACCCGGTGGTCCGGAAAGATCAGTGTTGCCGCTCCACTTGGAACGACCTGGTGGGCCATTCGCGGCTGTTGTTTCGTATCGATCCGAAAAGCCATAGTCCAAAGTCTGCGCACGAGCCTGTAGAGACACTAAAAAAGTGAATAATTTCTACGTTGAATGCTGATTCTCGAAAATTTTTCTCTATATGAGAAACATTAATATTAATTTCTCACAAATACGAGAACCATTAATATTAATTTCGTATTGACATTTAATTAATCGCAAACAAGAGAATTATTTAATGGAAAAGCCGACTTGATTATATTGTAGAAAAAAAGAGACATATATGTACATGGAGACAGAAATAAATTCTATAAATCATTTTCAAGGATTTTCTGCGTTTGTATAGAGTATGGTTGCTTCGATCTTTGAATATTGCAAAAACCGGTCAATGTAAACTTGTGAGGGAATTCGTAGTCGCGCGTTAGTTCATGAATATTCAATTGTCACCCAGCAAACAGGAATTATGTTTGGTTTCTGTCACATTTCCATTTTAATTTCAAATACAGAAGAACTTTTCAGAAACATCGCGAAATGTGTTAATATTGAGAATACTCTCATCGCACATTGCACGTTGTATGTATGATTGTTACGGATCGGATTTTATCGGACGGGTCATTTTTCATTCACGCCAGATTAATTTCATTGATTGCTCGAAGATTTGTTCAGCTATTCGATGATACACGATGATACGTAGTATCGCGTAGAATAGAGAACGCGATTCTTAATCTCGCAATTAAATCGCATCGTTGCGCGAAGTTGTGAACTTTCGTGGCCATTCTTCGCACGGAACTCGGTGGAAAGCGACAAGACAGCGTCGGAAACAACAGCGAATCAAAATATTATGTAAGTTACTCACGCGACGGCAGTAAGGCAAGAAACGACAGAGCTACCGAGAACACAACGCATGCGTTCGTAACTGGCATGACTTTCGTCGCTCATAGTCGACGAGGAACTGACCGCGTGTTCCACGTCAGGCCCAGTCAACACGCGGAATACCCCACGATAATGTAGAGATCATTTCGCAAACGGCACAAAATGGCACTGTGTCAAGGAAAGAGCACGAGGATAGCAATGTCAGCAAAGAAATTCATAGAAATGTTAATAAAACGATGTCAAAATAAATAATAACAATTTGTCCGCGTCTTATCGAGAAATGTCTCGGGATCATAGAATAATCTCGTCAAATGAAACAACTTTAACGCGATTTAATAAAATGATAACGGGATAATAGGATTGTAATTTATTCGTATTTTTAATGATTTTATCTCGATATGATTTTATCCATCAGAGACCAACATTGTGTGGCCTGATCTACTTATATCGCTATATAGCTTCCGTATAGCTTCATCAATGCGCTCGTTACCACCGAAAGTTAGCAACTTTTGCGCATCGTATTACTCGCGATAAGAGCAAGAATCGATAAATTCAAGCAACTCGGCTGAAACGATAATCACGAAAATGAACGTTTTACTCCAGAAACATGGAGCTAAACATATATGTAAGGTCCCGGAAGGATTACGCGAACTATGCACCGACATCGCACGCGAGGTTCGCACTATAAAATCGTTATTTGATTTACCACTGTCACGTCAAAGGACGATTAAATTATTATCTGATCCGTAAAGGTTCTACGCTCGCAACCGAGGAACATTTATTGCTTTGTGGCTGATTATGTTGAAGCGCTTTTGATCACACGAGAAAATGCAAAAGGTACTCTGTCATCTACAACAGTTTCACAACCTCGGATGTCTTGATGTATATCATTCGCAAACAGACGCTAATTGAAACATTAAGCTAATTAATTACTAATGTTTACATGCATGCGTACTGGTATACCAGTTTGTCCCACGAATCATTATGTTAATTCAAAGCTTGCAGCGAATGATCGCGCGTATATCATTCGCGTGCGGTAAAATGCGCGCGACAATCATAAAACGCGCTATAATCGTGCATCGCGTTCTACTTCGTACAATTGTACAATTCCAGTCGCGGTGAAAGTCGTAAACAATATTTTATTGGAGAGTCAAGCCATCGTGGGTATACTTCACCGGAGCGGCTTGAGTTTGGAGCAAATCGCCCGCGCCGCGCCCAGGATTCAGGTATAGAATTTACTGTCGCGTGCCGGATAAGGATCCAGCACAGTTAAATAATATTTTAGACATTCTTTCCTACTTTTTTTGAGTTCAGACGGCGTTCCGCGCGTACTTGGACGCGGTAGACATGCGAGCGACCCAGGTGCGCGACGGTAATTACACGGTGAATTATGTAGAAAAACAATTTTGCGGCGGGTAGACCCGCTGTGCACGGTATTTCTGTAACGTGTAACAGACAAAAAGTACGCGAGAGACATTCTTCCTCTTTCGACCGCAGACACAATTTCCTACGAGAGATCCAAGGTATCTCTGCAAAGTATTCTGCAAGCGACGGGAGTCTCACTGAAACAGGCGGAGAAGCATGCCACGATAATACAAGTATGCGCTAATTATCACAAGAGAGACCTTTTATCACAGATCTTTAATGCTGATCGCAGCTCTTTGAATCGTTTTCGATGTTATTAATCAGGCTGCTTTCCGCGGGCATTACGAGAGGATGCTATTAAACGAATCCCGTGGCATGATTCAATGGCAACGAGCGGCAACAAGGACCCTCGAGATCCTGAGAAAGACAGGAGCTTCGCAAGCAGAGGCGTCGAAAGCCGCCATTTTAATACAAGCTACTTATCGCGGCTATTATACAAGGAGAAACCTTGTAAAAATAAAAATGCGTAAGGTCATTCTGATTGCACCTAGTGTGTTTCGGTGCACCTTAGTATTTCAAATCTATTCATGGCCTCTTGCAGAGGCTATGCAACCGCAGGAGGAAGAGAAAAGAAACGAGGTAGACATGATAGAACCCAAAGAAGCCGTTCAAGCAGTAGCTTGGTTGGATATGATGTACGAGGAATCAGGACTGACACCAATGAGAGCAAATGAAGCTGCATCCACTATACAAGTAAATAAATCGAATTATACGTAAAATTATTATATATATTATCACATTTAACCAAATATATGCGGAAAACTGAAAAGAAATAATCATCAATTGTCACAAAATGTTATATAGAAAGCTTACAGACGATATCGCGAGAGAAAAAATAACTCTAAACCGTCGGTAGAATCAACGAGATCGGCAGTGGCAGAAGCCATTCTCAAAAATTTGCAGCAGAAGGTTTTCGACGAAGTCATGACTCGTGCGGACATCCCCGCAGAATTTGGTAATCGAGAGGACTTGACGAAAGCTGGCGAAGAACTTCAACGCGCTTTTAAAGATCGATTAACACGTGCTCGCTTGGCACAAGGTAGCGATGTCTGTATAAAACTATTCATTTTAAATGATAAAAATATTCATTTTAAATGTGATATCACAATGAGAAAGAAAGAAAGAGAGAGAGAGATTGAAACTATATAAATCTTAAAAATGCTAATTAATCTATCTTAGGTAGTAACCTTGGGTCTAAGGAACACGTCAAATTAAGAGAAAGTCAAAATGGTGTATTTTGATTTTTTCTTGATTAGATGTGTTCCTTAGACCTAATTTGATGTGTTCATTAGACCTGTATTTTGATGTCAAAATGATGATTTTTTGTTACAAAATTTGACTGTTTATTGACTTTAAGCATCAAAACAGAATAATTTTGACGTCAAAATGACAATAAAATTTTTACTACCTGGAATATTATATTAATCTAAACATGTAAACAGAATACGACGAGGAGGAACTTGCTTACGAAGAGGAGCCTGAATCATTTGAGAAAGTGGTGGACTCAATTAGCGTGCCAGAAGATTGGCAAGAAGATCGAGAGATCGAAGTAGAATCAGAACGTGACGAAGAAACAAACATGTACATGTAATATTAGCTCTCTCGAAGAGAGAGCCGAACTTTCCGAAAGGAGGAGGGAAAAGCGTCGCGATGCTGCGGAATCCTTTCCAGAGACCAACGAGATGGGCCAATTAACATGAAAGCTGTGGGCGAACAGTACGAGAGAAGAAACGAAACAACGAGCGTACGACCATCACAAAGAGCCCAGCAAGCGAAAAGTCGTCTCCGGAGGCAGCCGAATGCCGGAGACACCATGGTTTTTAATGCACATGCTTACGTTCGATAATACCGTTAACGTGCCGCGTTTTCGTAATGAGCTTAAAATTCTCCATCTCAGATGGAAACTGGCTCTCTGGCACGTGTATTTGAATAAAACGAGTTAAAAGTTAATTGTCCCACTATATAAAGTTAATTTAATTCGAGTAATACGAATTAAATTGTTTCACGAGCTTGTCTAAAATTTGATTTACATAATTTTTATTCTTAACGTTTAGCGTTATAATACTCTGCTATATTATTTCGCGGCATTAATACGGCGGGCAAATAAGTATCTCGCGGAAAAAATTCAATGCAGTTGAAACAGGAAAAGGTGCAAAAGCGCGAGGATTTCGCTTAAATTTTTCACGCACATCGCTGTACAGTTTATACACAGTATCTACTACCGCGATTAAAATGTAGATGAAAAAGCACGAAATTTCAAATAAATTTTAAATCGTTTTTTATTTCAATGATTCACGCGCACAAATGTTGGACGCTGAAAATAACTAGAAAATACAAAAATTGGGGTAAAAAGTCCATGAACGTGTTTTGTGGAAGGAAATTGAATTAGAAGACACGTCTACAAGGCGGTCGATTTGAGCAACAGCGGGTGGCAGCCGTCTCGTTCAAAGGCGACTTCAATCGGTCGAATTCACCCTCTGGCGGCTCGTGTCGGCCACATACACGACCACATGTTCTCGCGATCGCGACGGTTTCGCAGTTCTCGCAATGTGCAGCTCGGCAACTGTGTCTCATCATCGGTCCTTCGTGCGAAACCGCGTTTACGATCTCAAGCGACGATCCCGGCTGATCGATGATTTCCGAAGTCAACGATTTGTTACACTCATCCTTGTCCCCTGTCCTGTCGTCCGATTGCGTTCTATTCCCACACCTTCTGCGGCGCCACTTCCTGCTGGCTTTATATTTTTCAGCGAGGATGCACATGGAGTCCTTGTGATTGATAACGACCATGCTATCGTCGTCGTCTTCGTCGTCGTCGTCGTCGTCGTTCTTCTTCTCCTTGCGTTCCTCTTCGTCGTTCCCCTCACGAGAGGTAGGTATTATTCCAGAATACTCCTTCGAGTAACACTGCCGTGCGTACAATCGACTATTCTCGTCCCGCATCTGATCGCGCCAGCTTTTGTGTTGAGCTTTCTCGCCGGAGATGCTGCTCCCGCGCGTCTCACATCTGCAATATGAATGATGCGAAGAGAGTGAATTAAACAGAGATTGTAGCTGTGCGGGGCGTTTTCATCTCCTCAATCACATATCTTCCGCCTCACCTTCGACGAATTCATTCGACTTCTTTTTTGAAATAATGATATTTTATAAAATTTGTTATACGTGGAATACGTGAAATATACAATGATCAATACTTAACACATAATATAAGAAAACTAGGTGTAATATTCTTGTGGATACGCAGTCGTTAAAATTTTTATGATCAATTAGAAATTGGCTCCAAATTTTGCAGCGTTTTCGATCGTAGCGAGTTGATCGAACCGATCTGGGTTGGATTAATAATGTTGCGTGCTCTATTAGGGGAAAGTGGGGAAACTGTACGCAGCGGATAATTGTGAGTATCCTGTTTTACTACTTTTAATATTTTTCCAATGAATGAAGGAATCGCTGTAGTGAAATTTTTACGCAAGAGGTCGTCCTCTTAAGATATAACTACAAAAGATACGACGTAAATACTTTGTTAACCAGAGAAATACAAAAAAGTGAAATCACATCTTTTCTTATTATTTTAGCAGTCAGAAAATAAGATGGTAAGTTGGTATTTTTAATTTGTTTGATTAAAGTTGCATACGTTATTAAAGTATGTTATTATGTGCGTCTTTTGAGCTGTTATTTATTAAGTTTGGTTAAGAAATATTGTATGTAAGTAATCGTATTTCATATCGAATCAGATCGCGGCGGGCAACTGTGCGCAAGCATTTTGAAGTGCGCACAATTACCCATCTTCCATATATTATATGACCAGCACTAATTTTTTCGTTTTTTCTTTGCATTATTATTTTATTTTGCCATTTTATTTTGCCAAAGTCTATGTGTATTATTATTATATTTGATATTATATTAAATAATTTTGTACTTTTTGCTTAATATATGTAATATATATTTAAAATATATTTAATATATATTTATATTGCAATATAATAAATATATTTTCTAATTTCTTTGTCAACATTCCATAATTCATTCATTTCCTACGATTTTTGCTTTGCGCACAATTACCCGACACACGAGAAATTGTTTCGCTTTTCCGTTCTTTCCTTTTTGCCAAATACAACCTTATTGAATGAAAATCTGTTCGATATGAGGATACGTAATAATAAAAGAATATTTATAGTTTCTATTTCCATACTTATATCGCTTTAAACTTGGAAAATCATTTCAGGACAATAAATTTCCCTTAGATGCACACAATTCACCCACTTTCCCCTATTGATAGAGCATGTGACGTCATTAATCCAATCCAGATTCAAACTCGTTACGGTCGAAAAATGCTATTAAAAACTAATAAAAATTCGTCTTTAAAACTTCATCACAAATCAATTCA